GATTTGTTCATTTCAAATACTACCTTCTTTAGACAGCATAGGAGATGAATATACACATGGACCTCACCAGATAGAATACACAGAAATCAAATTGACTACATCTGTGGAAAAAGACGATGGAAAAGCTCCATATCATCTGCCAGGGGAAGACTGTAGAACAGACCATCAATTACTCATATGCAAATTCGAACTGAAGCTGAAGAAAATGAAAACAAGTCCACAAGAGCCAAAATATGACCTTGAATATATCCCACCTAAATTTAGAAATCATCTGAAGAACAGATTCGATACATTAAACACTAAAAACCCAAAACCAGAAGAGTTGTGGGATGACATCAAGAACATTATAAATGAAGAAAGCAAAAAGTCATGAAAAGATCAAAATGGATGTCAGAAGACACTGAAACTTGCTCTCCAGCGTAGAGAAGCTAAAGCAAATGGAAGAAATGAGGAGATACAAGAGCTGAACAGACAATTTCAAAGGTCAGCTCAAGATGACAAAGTCAAATATTACAACAACAAAATGTGCAAAGATCTGGAGTCAAAAAGCCAAAAGGGAAGAACACACTCAGCATTTCTCTAGCTGGGGGAACTAAAGAAAAAAAATCAAGCCTCGACTTTCATTATTGAAGTATTCTCTGGGCACATTATCGAATGATGCTGAAAGCATCAAAAGAAGATGGAAGGAATACACACAGTCACTATACCAAAAGGAAATGGTTGATGTTCAACTGTTTCAAGAGGTAGCATATGATCAAGAGCCAATGACACTGAAGGAAGAAGGGGCATTGAGGAAATTGGCAAAGAACAAGGTACCGGGAATTGATGGAATACAAACTGAAAACTTTTAATAAAGTGAGGTGGCACTGAAGGCACTCATTTATGCCAAGAGATTTGGAAGACAACTATCTGGCCAACTGATCCGTATTTGTGCCTATTCCAAAGAGAGGTGACCCAATGGAATGCAGAAATCATAGGACATTATCTTTGATGTCCCTTGTAAGTAAAGTTTTACTAAAGGTAATACATAAACAGCTGCAAGCATACACTGACAGAAAACTTCCAGAGGTTCAAGCTGGGTTCAGAAGAGGAGGATATGGAACAACGGATATCATTGTTGATGTCCAATGGATCTTGCCTGAAAGCAGAGAATACCAGAAAGATGTTTACCTGTGTTTTATTGATGACGCAAAGGATTTCGATTGTGTGGATCATGACAAGCCATGGGTGACATTGCAAAGTATGAGTATTCTGGAACACTTGATTGTGCTCATTAGGACTCTGTACATGGACCAAGAGGCAGTTATTCAAACAGAACATAGAACACTGAATAGTTTAAAATTAAAAAAGGTGTATGACAGGGTTGTATTCTTTCACCATACTTATTCAACCTGTATGTTGAACAAATAATCTGAGAAGCTGCATTTTATGAAGAAAAATGTGGCATCAGAATTGGAGGGAGACTCAGTAACAACCTGCGACATGCAGATGATACAACCTTGCTTGCTGAAAGTGAAGAAGACTTAAAATACTTACTGATGAAGATCAAAGAACACAGCCTTCATTATGAGTTGCACCTCAATGTCAAAAAAACAAGAATCCTCACCACTGGACCAATAAACAGCATTCTTATCAACGGAGAAAAGATTGAAGTTGTCAAGGACGTCATTCTTCTTGGATTAACCATCAACACTCATGGAAGCAGCAGTCAAGAAATCAAATGACGCATTGCATTAGGCAAATCAGCTGTACAAGACCTTTTTTTTAAGTATTGAAGAGCAAAGATGTCAGCTTGAAGACTAAGGTGACCCAAGCCATGTATTTTCAATAACCTTATATGCATGCAAAAGCTGGACATGAATAAGGAAGACCATAGAAGAATTGATGCTCTTGAGTTATGGTGTTGGAGGAGAATACTGAAACAGATCTGTGTTGGAAGAAGTGCAGCCAGAGTGCTCCTTGGATGCCAGGATGACCAAATTTCATCTCTCATACTTTGGACATATTGTCAGGAGGGACCAGTCGCTGGAGGAGGACATCATGTTTCATAAGGTGGAGGGTCAGAGAAGAAGAGGAAGACCTCAGTGAGATGGACTGGCAAAGTGGCAGCATAAAGGGGCTCAAGTGTGGCAACAATTGTGAGGTTGACCCATGACTGGGCAGTGTTTAGTTGTGTTGTGCATAGGGTTGCTATGAGTCAGTACTGACTCGGTGGCACCTAACAACAGCATCATCTATGTAAGCATCCACATAAATACATATATACTTGTGAGGTATATGTAACGTTGTTATTGTTAAGCACCATCGAGTCAGTTCTGGCCAGAATGACCCTGTATAGGATTTCTGCAGAGCAACTGGTGAGTTATACATATTTCTATGTATGTAAGGAGTCCTGGTGTGGCACTGTGTTTTAATGAACTGGATTGCAAAGTTGGTCTGAACCTCAGGTCAGCCATTCAAGATCATCAGCCGCTCCTTGGAAATCCTATTCAGGGTTGTTATGGGTCAGAATCGACTTGATAGCACTTAACAATAACAACAAATATGTATATATAAATCTATATTCATAAAAAAGATAGCTAGAAAGGAGACAACAGATTGATGGAGCACTTTTGATGTTTATAACGTATATCAAAATGTGAGAATTAATTGTATAGATTTAATTTTTAAAAATAACAAATTTCTTTCTGTATTTTCTTCTTCTGTTTTAACAACAAATAATTAAGAAATCATGGAATTTAAAATAGTAAAGTTGCTATGAGAAATATTCATAGAATTTTTTTTTACCATTCAAAGCAATATAATCTTCTCATAATAGCTAAAATGATGAATTGTTGTTGTTAAGTGCTGTTAAGTCAGTTCTGACTCATAGTGACCCTGTATAGATTTCTGAGGCTATAAATCTTTGCTAAATCAGAAAGCCTCATCTTTCTCCCATGGAGCAGCTGGTGGGCTCAAACCACTGACTTTGTGATTAGTAGTCCAGTGATTTTCCTACAGTACTACTGTGCTCTCAAAATGATGAGTAAATTATCATTGTAATGAAACAAGGTGTACAATTTGTTGAACGTAAAACTGATGAGCTGCCCTGTAAACTTTCACTGAATTCACAAAAACTTTAAAAAAAAAAAAAAAAAAAAGGATGAATGAAGAGAGAAAACCAGAAGTAAAACAAGTAAAAATATGTTTGTTGAAAGATTTAAGTTTGAACTGTGATTGATAACTGCTAAATATTGAGAATGTTCTTTATTGTAATAACTATTTTAAATATTCTCACTAAAAATCCTTACAAAACTCATCAAATGTAATAGTGCAAATATTATCAATAAATTAACTGACCAGAAAGATGCTTTTTTAAGAAAAACATAAAATCAATTTATTATATTATGTGAAAAATAAGAAAAAATATATAATTCATATTACTTCAGGTATTTATGCCCATGAAAATTAACGCAACTAGTTAGCCTCCTCATCCAAGTGGCAATGACTAGAATTTTAGAGAAACATCCTAGGAAGAAACTAGCCAGCGACCTCTAAATTAGTACTGCAAGTCCACTAAATAGAAATCAGCCGCCCATTCTCCTAAGGATGTAAAGTTGTGAAGAACATTTTGTTCATCAATAGTAAACATACAAAACTTCTTCAATTAACATAAATACAGTTGGTTGGAAACTAAGATTAAAAGAGCAAAATTAAACAAATCAGCATATTAAAAATTTTTTAATTCTTGAATGTATTAACAATACAAGTGTCCTTTGCTTTCTGAATCTATCTGATTTCTGAAGTATTAAATAAAAAGTACTGTCTGAGCAGGAAAGGAGCTCCAGAAAGCAGGCTGAATTCAGTGCCAGGGAGAGGGGGCTGGCCCTGCCAGTTTCACTTACAAATTGTGTGACACTGAATCAGTCAGCATAATATCTCTGGATTCACGTTTTAGCCACTGAAAACAAGTAATATAGACAAACTAATTTTTAAAGTCCTATTCTAGTTGGATATTTTCTGAATCTGTAAGTCAAGAGAAAAACATTTTCTTTGCACCATTCCACAGCATACCTGAAAGATGAGCAGGAGGCGTACATGGAGGACACCATGTACCTGGGATGAATTTAGTGAAATTCTAACTAGACTAGTTTCCAAAACTGTTCAACTCTTGTTTATAATGAGCAGTCAACCCAAATATATATAAAAAATATGTATTTGCCTTTGTTGCATAACCCTGTACCTTTTTGGAATCATGCAAATGTAGAAAATGTGCACATATTTCTAATAAATGCATGATCAGCCCAGATGGGGATTCTTGCACAGAAGGAAAGAAATGGGCACAGTACAGTCCCTATGTAAGAGTGAAAGACTGGAGACTAAGAGATAATGTGCATACTGACAAACTGAAAAACCAGTAATAGAAACTAGAATTGTGATCACCCAAATGCAGAAAAGTTAAACAATTGATGGGCCAAATCATCCTGGTATAGAGCATTTCCCGTGAAGATATTCCATAAATAATTGTGAAGGAAGGAAGTTTACCTCTTCACGGTCCTTCAAGTGTTGAGATCATAAGTTTATAAAATACCTGTTTTTTATGGAAATCCTTGAGTGCTGTTTCATAGCCTTCTTCCAGTCGGCTGAAGGCAATTCCTACGTCTGTAGTCCACCATATTTGTGAGCTAGTTAGTGCAACTTGAGCTGGGAAATCAAAAATCCACAGTTCCCTAGGCTTTTCCTCGTAGGCTGCTATGGCTTCTGTGATAGAATGCCGCACTGTGTTCTGCATGGTCAGCTCGAGCTGCAGAAGCCACATCTCCACCTTTCAAAGCAAATTGACACATTACAGCATGGGCTTAACAAAAGAGGAGAGATCATTCATCTACTACTGCTTTGGGAATTGATTTTAAGTTCATATGCAAGGGCCCTAGTAGTACAGCAGTTAAGGACATGGCTGCTAACCAAAAGCTTAGTAGTTTGAGCAACTCAGTGGTTCCATGAGAAGAATGCCTGGAAATCTACCTCCATCAAGACTAGAGTATAGAAAACATGATGGGGTCATTCTACTCTGTCACATGGCATCATGGTTGAGTTAGAATCAACTTGATGGCATCTAACAACAACAAATAAACTAGAAGAGGGATAACTCAATGGTAGGAGCCGAAAAGTTGACTAAGTCTTTTTGTACATGAACCTGTCTTCATATTACTCATCTTATATTTCTTTCTAGGTGACTGATAACATTCCACACTTTAAAAAGAGGAATACTAACTATTTTTTTTATAATTTTTCTTCAAATTTGAAGATAAGGGGGAGGGAATTCTAGACCAAGATATTTCTAGCAATACCCAACATCTTGATAAAAACAAACATCAGAGCTCAATATAGAGATACAAGTAATATTCTAGAGCTTTAGGGATAATGGGCAATTAATTTCAATACACTGCTGCTGTTAAGTGCTGTTGAGTCGGTTCTGACCCATAGCGACCCTATATAGGGTTTTCATGGAGTATCTGGTGAGCTTGAACCACTGACCTTGTGGTTCAAACTGACTTTGCAGTCCAATACATTAATCTGCAGGACCACACCAGGACTCCATATGTGTGTGTGCGTGTATGTGTATATATATATATATATATATATACACACACATATACGTATACCTATATATACATAAGGAGCTCTGGTAGTATAGTGGTTACGAATCGGGCTGTGAACCACAAGGTCAGCAGTTCGAAACTACCAGCTGCTCTGCAGGAGAAAGATGATGCCTTCTGCTCCCGTAAAGATTTACAGCCTCGGAAACCCTGTTCAGGGTCCCAATGGGTTGGAACCGACTTGATGACATTTAACAACAACAACATGTATATATAAAATACAAATATGTAATACACATCTATATATGCATCTTTTGATAATTTCTATATCTTTTGATAATTTCTATATCTATATATATTTCTATATAGATAATATCTATATATATCTCTTTTGATAATTTCTAAATCCACCAAAACATTTTATCTAAAATCATATTTCTTAGTAGTAAGAAAAGTGTTTTCAACAAGTATCTTAATTATCTTCCCTACTGGCTCTCATCTTTTCACTTGTCAGAAATTAGACAGCAGGAGAGGATAAGAGATAGGGCAACTGCTGACTTGTGAAAATTAATCTTCTTTTTAAAATTCATTGCAAGTCTATTTTCTCCAACAAATACACTTCAGCTAGCTTTTTAAAGCTATTCAAATATGCTTTGTTTTATTTACCCATAGAGCTGTATATTTTCCTGCAGAATATTACATAACTGATCCACACACATACACACATAACAGTCTGGAAATAATTGACCACAGCAGTATAAAAACATGACTATAATAAATAAATTCCAAGCACCACATGATATATTGCAGGCACTCTATCTGATTTCTCTCCCTGAACATGGCAACTGCAACCCTGCACTTCTTCTCTTGAGAACTTGAGTTAATGAGCTGACATCCTTCCTCCCTGAAAGAAAAAACAAAGCACTGCACGACAATGGTGCCAGCACCTCTTAGTAAAAGCCTCTTGCTCTGAACTCACAGTTGTGCTTTGTTAACAAGCACGAGAGTTCAGGGCCCTGATTTAAGTTTAGTCCTGAACTCTATTTAGTCACGAATACAACTCTCACTCTCACCAGACCTCTCATCATTTGAGCATCTTTTGAGTTTTCAATATGATCACCTGTCCTCAAGAACTTTGCAGTCCATTTGGGAAAACCAAACACATGTCTAAGTTGACACATTAGATCATTTTCAGGTAATTATGCCACCAACTGCAATTTAACTCAGTGTGATTTCAGAACTAAGCTCTGATGATGACTTGGATCCCTCTTCTTGGTGTTTCATAACCTTCTGCACAGAGCATTGTCTATTAATGACCACAGTCCATGATCACTGATTATGAATATATCCATCCCAAGTACAGGGACTGTGTCTTATTCATTTATGGAGCCCCAAAGTCTACCTAACTTGGCACTGATGCACAATAGATACTCAACAAACATTTGAAGAATAAAATACAAATGGTCTAAATTAGAAGGATAAGCACTGGGCTGTAAAGTCAGTATGAACCACAATTTGGTAGTTCAAACCCACCAGCATCTCCTTGGAAACCCTATTCAGGGTTGCTGTGAGTCAGAATAGATTCAATGGCACTTAACAGCAACAACAATGCTCATTAAAGTGCAGAAAAAGAAAAGAAAAAAAAAACAAAAACAAAAAAAACACCTAAACTAAAAGCAAAACAAAACAAAGTAAATTAGAGGGTGAATGTGGTATATGCTCACTACTTGAGCATAAGTTGTTTATATAGAATAAATTAGAGCACTATAAAAACTTTCCATATCAAAGGTTCCTTCTGGTGACAACCACATCTGTCAATTGAACTAGTGTGCTCCAGGCATCACGCCAGTCAGCCAGCAATCTGCTGGGGTGGGAGCAGACAGCAACACACTTTTGTCAAGATAGTTTATGGTGACTTTTTCTAATCCTTGTAATAATATCCTAAAAAGCCCAAGAGATCAAAAAATATATTTTAATCAAAGTATTCCACCATCTGCTTCCCCTTCATTTGGCAGGATTTCTATGATACAATATTAAAAACCAACAGAGAGGAGTAAAGCAAACCCCAGCAAAAAGATTGCAATCACATTTCTGAAAGGCACACTTTAAGGAACCCCCTGCCCCAGCCCCAGAGGTTCTGTAACAGGCACTAATGCCTCAGTTAATCTCTGGATTAACCCAAGCTATACCTTCATAAAGAGATGAAATTACTCAAAACCATCCAGATATACCAAAAGCTCATTTATAAATCATCATGAGCCATGCTTGTGGGTGACTGTTAAGAAGAAATTTGAACTGTTTGACTGTGAGAAAAGAGATATGCTAACTTAACTGTCTCTGCACAGAATAGAGTATGTGACATCAGCTGAGAAGACCCCATCAACTTGATTTATGTGTACTCACTTTAACCACTCACTCTGGAATACTGAACCACAAAGCCCGTGTAAAGCATGCTTTATACCTGGAGGGTGCTTCATCCTGATCCTTTCCTGCACTCTCTCAGAGTGGGGGACAACAGAGCATGCTACGTAAATGGCTCAGCCACTGGGTTGCACTTGTTACTAATTCTGGGGTCCAGTCAATCAATCTGTGACAGTCCCTTCTGTCTAGTTCACCTTTTAGCATCTCTAAGACCTGTCTGGATGCCAAAGGCAAATGAACAGAAATGGGGAAACCTAACAGAGTAGCTTTCTGTCATACTGGATACAAGTAACCAGGAATCTTCGAGCACAAAGCTAAACAGAGCCTGACTTGTTATGAGATGAGTTGTTCTTGTTCAATTTTTAAAATACCCTGAAAGTATTCTTTGAAGACAGAAAACGTCACTGTCAAATCTTACATGGCCTATGCATGCACACTCCGCTTGAAATGGGACATACTCCTTTTCTTTGCTGTGCATTCCAATGGCTCTGTGGGCCGACACGTTCTGATGGTCTTCAAACTGAAGATTTGCAATGCTATCAAAGAGCTTGGCAAGGTGGCGCGTTACCTAAGGCACAATAATTAGAAAAGATAAAGGCATTTCTGACCGTAGATACATTCTGAGAATCTAGGAATGACCTGGTAATCTAGGGAGCCCTGGTGTGGTGCTGCAGGTTCATGTGCTGGTAGGAGAGGTCAGCAGTTCAAGCTCACCAGCTGTTCCTGGGAAACCCTATACAGGGTCACTATGGGTTGGAACCAACTTGACGGCACTTAACAACAGGGATGATGATATTTAAATTTATAAAATTTACTTTGTATGGTTATAGGGTTGTCTCTAAATGTATCCCCTCGAGATGAATCCCTTCTAAAATTCCAGAATTTGAAGTGGACTTGATAGAGAAGTGTTCCATCATTACTTCTCAGGTTGTGAATGCTTACCATGTAAAGCTATCTATTTTCTGCTTGATGACTGTAGGCTTGCCATATTTCTCCACATTATCATCCTGCTGAGAATTCTCTAATCAAGATTTTTTTTTAAAAAATTCAGGTTACATTATTAACCTGTGCAATAAAATAAGTCCCGGTTTGGTGCTGTAGGATAAGCACTGGACTGCTAGCCACAGGTTGGTGGTTCAAACCCACCAGCTGCTCTTTGGAAAAACTATACAGGGTCACTGAGAGTCAGCACAGCAGTTAGCAAGAACAATAAGAAGATCAGTTAAAAGGCCTGAAACAGCATTACAAATTAGACATAATTTCACTCTTTTGTTGGGTCTAGCATATAGTGACTTGTTTGATACTATGTGAGCCCCACTGCAACCCTATTGCATAAGAAAGGGAAAATATCAGTTTTCATTTATAAGGCAATTGAAGCTAGATCATTAGATGACTTTCTCCTAAACTGACATAATTAAAAGTGGCTGTTAGATTTTGCACCTGCAATTTCAGGCCATCTCTACAAATGAGGAATATCATTGCTGATGTCCGATGGATCTTGGCTGAAAACAGAGAATATTAGAAAGATGTTTACCTGTGCTTTATTGACTACACAAAGTCTTTCGATTGCGTGGATCATGACAAGCTATGGACAACATTGCAAAGTATGAGAACACTTGTGCTCATGAGGAATCTGTGCATGGACCAAGAGGCAGTTATTCAAACAGAACATGGGAACACTGAATGGTTTAAAATTTAAAAAGGTGTGCCACAGGGTTGTATTCTTTCACCATACTTATTCAACCTGTATACTGAGCAACTAATCCGAGAAGCTGGTTTATATGAAGAAAAACATGGCATCAGGATTGGAGGAAGACTCAGTAACAACCTGCGATATGCAGATGATACAACCCTGCTTGCTGAAAGTGAACAGGATTTAAAATATTTCCTGATGAAGATCAAAGAGCACAGCCTTCGGTATGGATTACATCTCAACGTAAAGAAAACAAAAATCTTCACCACTGGACCAATAAACAACATTCTTATCAACAGAGAAAAATTTGAAGTTGTCAAGGACTTCATTCTTCTTGTATCAACCATCAACACTCATGGAAGCAGCAGCCAAGAAATCAAATGACATATTGCATTAGGCAAATCAGCTGCACAAGACCTTTTTTAAAGTATTGAAGAGCAAAGAAGTCAGCTTGAAGACTAAGGTGCGCCTGACCCAAGCCATGGTATTTTCAATAACCTCATATGCATGCGAAAGCTGGACAGTGAATAAGGAAGACTATAGAAGAATTGATGCTTTTGAGTTATGGTGTTGGAGGAGAATATTGAAAGTGCCAGAGGCTGCCAAAAGAACCAACAGATCTGTGTTGGAAGAAGTGCAGCCAGAGTGCTCCTTGGAGGCCAGGATGACCAAACTTCGTCTCTCATACTTTAGACATAATATCAGAAGGGACCAATTGCTGGAGAAGAACATCATGTTTGGTAAGGTGGAGGGTCAGAGAAAAAGCAAGATTCCCAGCGAGATGGATTGGCAAAGCGGCAGCATCAACGGGCTCAAGCATGGCAACAATAGTGAGGTTTGGCCCAGGATCGGGCTGTGTTTTGTTCTGCTGTGCATAGGTCACTAAAGGTCAGTACCAACTCGATGGCACCAAACAACAACAACTACAATGTTCAAATTTTTCTGCCATTATAACATCTTGTATCCTAAATGTTGAATTTGTTAAAGGAAACCCCCAGTAAAAACGTAAAACTGAAATACAAAACATGAGCATCTACTCTGCAAGAGGCAGGTTTGGAGAATGAAGTCTGTTTGGCCTCTAAACTGGGTCTGAAATTACCCACAATTATCTAACCAGTCGTGGCAGCACCCACTAGGATATGCTTTGTCACCTATAAGCTTTGCCCTAAGAGTTGGCCAGGAGGAGAAGAGAAGATGTGCTTTCTGTAGGTAGACCCAACCAATAAGAAAAAGGAGGATGACCTTCAGCAAGCTAAGTCGATACATGCTTTGAGGTGGACTGAGTAAAGGCAGAGAGTAGCCCAGAGAAAGTATCTGCAGTTGGAAGAAGCAATCCCTTACCAAAACAGAACAAAAACTAGTTGTTGTCAACTAGATCTAACAACTCATGACAATCCTGTACGTATCAGATTAGAACAAGTCTTCATAGGATTTTCAATGACTGAGTTTTTTGGAAGTGAATCTCCAGGCCTTCTTTCCCTCCTCACACCTGGAGCAAATTAAAGCTGCTGAGAACCAGAAGCCTGTGTGTAGTACGTATTCCTTCTATTTCCAGGAGAGTGGCTCTGTCTCTGTTAACAGATTTTTCTTCAATTGCAGAGCAACTGGACTTGAAACTAAAGGGACAGCTGCTTCTAGAGCTGAGCTAATTTCTGGGGCAAGTAAATCAATGGCAGAAGCAATAGTAAGTAACCTGCCTGCATTTCCTTCAGAACAAGACCAATGTCAACATGAGTAAGGAACAACTTGAGGGTGATTTAATCTTGGAAGCTTTCAGCTTTCAGCTTTTTGCTGTATTTGCAGTTTTGTATTAAAATCACAGAAAGAACTCTTCTGAGTTTGAAACAGATAAGATTTTGAGGCTTTCAGTTTCTTTAAGCATAGACAGAATGGTAACAAACTGATCACCGCCTGGCTTTTCATATTCTCCTCCATCTCTGTACATTGCCCCAAAGACATTTATTGCAGGAAGTATCTCCAATAATCTAACAATTCACTGTCACAACTGAAGCAGCCAGGAAGAGCACAGATGTTGAATGGCTTCTACTGTGTAACAGGCCTAGATGATATCCAGATGAAAAGCTGCAATATGAATGAGACCTCAACATCATCCACCCTCACACATTATTGCTTTGGTGAGAACATAGTTTCAAAAGAACTTCTGGTTCTGTAATCAATCAGGGCCCAGGAGAGGTAAGTCTAGTGGCTTGCAGTTCTTAGACACTACTTGTTTGAAGTCAGATGTTCTCATATCTAGTCTTCTCTCGATTAAATGCTTCTGCCGAATTAACCTATTTTTAACTAATATGGAGCCCTGTTGCCCTCAAATTTGTTTCATTTCCAATTAGGTCTCTTTGTATTTGTTAACATGAAATTAAGCTTCCTTCATCCTAGCGATCTATTTGACAACTAAAAGGGCTACATACAAAACTAACATGTCATGTTGGTGGTGTTGTTAATTAATGTCTAGCCAATTTCTATTCACAACCAATTTCTCTGTGACAGACTAGAACTCATCCAGAGGGTTTCCAGGTTGTACTCTGTAAGAAAGCAAATTGCTAGAGCTTTCTCCTCCAGAGCCATGTTATGCTTTGAACTATCAACCCTTGGGTTAGCAGATGAATATGTAACTATTGCATCACCAGGGCATTTTAATGTCATAGAGTCCTCTTTCTTATTCTATTTAAGGAGCTCTGGTAGCGTAGTGGTTACGAATCGGGCTGCGAACCTTAAGGTCAGTGGTTCAAAACTACCAGCCGCTCTGTGGGAGAAAGATGAGGCTTTCTACTCCCGTAAGGATTTACACCCTCGGAAACCCTGTACAGGGTCGCTATGGGTCGGCTCCGACTCGAAGGCACTTAACAACAACAACAACAATTCTGTTATTATTCTGTTTCTTTCTCAAGGAATAGAATGGATTATAACTCTTTTCAAATTTTATAAAAGGTGAGCAACAAAAATGGAAATGCTGCTCCCTCAGTTTACAATAAATGAGCACATTTTAAAAATGACTATGCAAGCTAAACTCAGGTTAAATGTCTTAATAACCCGTGAGGAAAATGATGATTATGTTGTGACTTTCTGATTTTCTCCTCAAAACACTATAAACTTTCTTTTCATTTCTTAACTTTTTAATGTGAATTGAGTGAAGGTTTACAGAGCAAATCATAAGTCTGTAGTTGTTAAATGATGTTGAGTCAGCTCTAACTTACAGTGAGTGACCTGATACAGTTTCTGAAGCTGTAAATCTTCACAGGAACAGAAAGCCTCATCTCTCTTCCTTGGAGTAGCTGGTGGACATGAATCGCCGACCTTAGGGCTAGCAGTCCAGTACTTATCTTACAGAATCATAGCGCTCCCTTTTAAAAACATTTTATTCTGAATTGAGTGAAGGTTTACAGAGCAGATCATCAGTTTTATGCCCAACAAATCATACACTTCATTTCACCTCAGTGATTACAATCCCCTCAAGGTAACATCACTTATCCCACTGCCTCCCTGTGTTTCTTATTTCTATTCCTCCTTCTTTCCCAACCTTCTGAATTTTGTCCCTGGGTAAATACTGACCTTTTGACTTCGACTGGCTGACCATTCTATGGTGTGTAGACCTCATTAGTGTTCTTGTCCTCCCACATACCTATCTACTGCTTCGCTAAAGGGGGTGAGTTCAGTTCCAGATCTGAAGGGTGACCAGTTTTTATTTAACCAGTAAGCCTGGTCTTTTTAATGAGTATGAGTTTTATTCCACATTTCCTCTCACTCTATCCAGGACCTTTAGAAAAACATTCCTACTTTTGATTATAGAGGGAACTGATAAACATAGTAGTAAAATGAATATTTACTTAATTCACTAAAATTAATAACAGAAATATTCA